TTTTTGTCTTAGTTCAGGCTTGTCAGATGGACCCTGAGACTTGTTCCTTTTGTAGACATAACAGAACTCAATCTTGAGTGCTAGAAACCTAATGTATGATCTCTTTTTCTTCTAATGATTAAGGAAAGAACTGGTGAAAATAATTTAATTTATTAAATAATTTATGACTTTAAAAACTAAATTCTTGCTTAACTTCATAAAGCAGTTGTTAAATTCTAACTTTTTGAAGGGCCAGAGTGTTTCGGAAATCTTAAGATGTCAGAGATACAGTCCACAAAAAGCAGTCTGGTATGAAATCAGTAAAGCTGCCAAAGCACATATTTAACAAAATAATTTTAAATGAGGATTTAGTTCACACTAGTTTGAATGTTAAAAAGCTTTATGAAAATCATAATCTGGACAGATTTTTAAAAATATTTCATAAAAGGGAAATGTATCCATTGGATACAAAAGAGTATTGGAGGATGGTTCTTTAGGCATAGGGACATGAGTGCAGTGTTCAAGAGAAAGAATTTGAAAGCTAGAGCTAAATCTTCAGGTTTACATAGCATTTAGCTGTATATTAATAACCCCTAAGACTCAGTTTACTCATCTATTAAATGAGACATTGCTTGTCATTTCATTTATGCTTTTAACGAGTCACATGTAAATTCTGTAACTAGCCTTTCTTTGTTCTAAGTCTATAAGCAGCCTTCTTGGGTAGGGAAATGAATCATCAGGTTCCATACTGTTTCCTCCTTATATATGCTCTTGCTGTTTCAGCTCTGTGATTGTAAAACAGTATACCAAATACATTCGCCATAAATCTCACCAGTACAGAATTCTTCGTGCTCTTACTGTGGGTCTTGTTCCATCATTCTCTTTTGTTGTCTTTGTTAAACTTCTCTAATAAAGTAGCTATACTAATTTTTCTCTGTTGGTAATCTTTCTCTAGGTTCATTAAATATGAATGTTCACAAAGCTAAATCTTAGGTATCTTTGTCTTATGGTACATTGCTCAAGGAATTTAATTTTCCCTCATTGCTTCACAAATGACAACTCCCAAAGTGTCTTTCTCTTAGATCTCTGAGGTTTATTTCTGTATCCTGTTACCAACTTGATATTGCCAGTAGATGTCTCAGATGTCCCAAACACATGTTGTCTTTTTGCTCTGTGTCTTCTTTGCCTCCCCATTTGTTATATTTGGATTCAGTATTTGTGAAGGACTCTTATTCTTACTGTACCCCTTACTAACTCTGTAAACATGGGCATCTGTAGGATAGCACCTGTCTATATTAATGTAGTTAATGTAAAGTAACATCAGATAAAATAAATGAAACTAAATGTTATTTTAAAAGATCAGTAGCAATGATGGCAGCCATATTAACGGGATACAGTAGTACTAGAAATAAAAGAGAAGACATACCACAGATTTTTTTTTAATGTATTTAATAAAGGGTCTATAGGGTCTCACTACATAGATCAGACTTATGGTGATCCTCCTGTTTTCAGTCTCCCAAGTGCTGGAATTACAGGCGCATGCCACCAAGCCCAGTCTCATTTGCTATCTCAGTGCACCCCAGGGGTAGGGCTGGCACGGCACACCAGAGATCGAACCCTTGTCCCTTCGCCTGCCTAAGCAGGTGCTTTAGTCCGCTGAGCTATCTGGCTGGCCCCATACCACAGATTTTATCGGACATTAAGTTGAGCAACTTAGATGGGATGAGTCCTTGAAAACAGTTACCAAAGCTTACTTCAGAAAAAAACGTTACCTGCACAGTTAGCTCAGTATGAATAGAAGAATTTAAATTTGTAATTAATTTCTTACCTCAAAAAAACTCATTATAGAACACTTCACTGAGGTTTTCTATGAAACTTTTAAGTATGAAATTATGTTATACCCAAATTTTTCAGAAAAGAAAAGCAGAGGGAACACTTTGCATTTTACTTTATGAGGCCAGTGTTACCTGAATATAAAGGTAAACTAGAATTCAGCAGAAAAATAGATAAAAAAAAGCCTCAAACAGAATTCTGCTGTACTAAAATCAGTATATAAAAGATACTACTTTTGTTCCTGCTTACCAAGTGGGATTCATTCCTGGAATGAAGTATTTGAAATCAGTTGGTGTCATCATGTGACACAAATAAGAATAAAAAAAAAAAAAAAAAACCTGTATGAATATCTCAATAGATTGGAAAAAAAATCGTTTGACAGATGTCAGTATTCTCAATAAACTAGGACTTTATGAAATTCTGTAGTGAATTGGCAGTGAAGAGCTGTTAACTTTTTTCCAAAGATCAGGACCAAGAAAATGATGCTTTGCTTTTAAGCATCAAATTTGACATTATTTGGAAATTATACTTAGTGCAGTGGGGCAAGAAAAGGAATTCAGAGGTGCCCAAGTTACAAGTGAAGAAATGAAACTGCTTGGGCATATGGAAAAAAAAAACTCCAAAAATTCACCAAAACAACAACAAAAATCTGCTACAATGAATAAGTGAGTTTAGTACTACAACATTGTGACAGAAAATATAATTATATTTATGTACTAATAATGAACAATTGGAAAATTTAAATTTAAATGCTCATTTTAGCATCTAAAATGAAAGTAGGGCTGGCCAAATAGCTCAGTGGATTAAAGGGTCCGCAAACATGCTCAGTGGCCTCGTGTTCCATCCCCCAGCCTACCTTGCTGCCCCCGCCCCCAAGGCTCACTGAGACGCCATTTGAGATGGTGTGGTGGCTTGCGCCTGTAATGCCAGCTCTTGGGAGGCTGTAAACAGGCAGATCACTATGAGTCTGATCTAGTAGTGAGACACTGACCACCCTGTGGATCCTTCCCTAAAAAATACAAAAAAATAAAGTAATCATGGAGAAGATGAACAAAATTTTGTAAGGTGACTATAGCAGAAATTGTAGAAATTGCTAAGAAAACTTTAACCCAAATAAAGGAACATAAGAACCATATTGATGACTCAGGAAGCTCAGAATTATTACACAGGTTGAGAATTTATAATTGGAAAATCTAAAATAGCTCGTAACTCTTTGGGAATGTTACATTGTGGATTTCCTTATTAGGGATGATAAACCTGTATGAAATGTCAGATACTATCCCTGAGTGAAAGGGTATTCAGGAACTGTACTAATTTTTTTGCAACTTGTATGAAAATGTGAAATTATTTTAAAACAAAAAATTAAAATCACTGTTTAAAAAATGGAAAGCAAGACATGAATGAAAATCCTTGTAAAACTTTTGTTTTATGTATATCCAGAACATATTAAAAAGTATTACAGCTTAGTAATAGGGAAAAATATGTTTATATCAGAAGATACATGAATGAGCCAACCAGACAGCTTAGTGGATTAAAGCATCTACGTAGGCAGATGCAGGGACCGGGTTTCGATCCCCAGTGTACCATGCCGACCTCACCCCTGGGACACCCTGAAAAGGCGATTGAGACTGGGTGTGGTGGCATGAGCCTGTAATCCCAGCGCTTGGGAGGCTGAAAACAAGAGAATCACTATGAGTCCAATCTGTGTAACGAGACCCTGAAGACCCTGTACTAAATAGAGAAAATGACAACAAAAAAAGGTTTGTAAATGTCATCTAAGCCCATGAACAGATTCCCAGCTTCATTACTTACTAGGAAATACAAATGTAAACCAAAATAAATTGTCATTGTATACTATAAGCTTAAGTGACAGTCACCAGAAAGTGGACAGCTACAGCTTATACATTGCTGGTGCAAATGAAAAAAGGTACTGGCACTTTGGAAGACAACCTGGCATTTTCTTATAAACATGGGTTGAGCAATCCCACTTCTAGGTTTTTACTCATCATTCTCAGTGACCCCTTAACTGGAAACTGCTCAAATATCTAAGTAGTACATTGCATGATGTAGTGCTGCTTAGTATTAAAAAGGAACAGAGTGGATGATTCTCAGAGCTATTAGGGCAAGTGAAAGAAGCCAAACAAAAATTACATAATGTGTGATTTCATTTATGTATAGATCTAAAACAACTACACAGTTCATTGGGGGGAGGGCAGAGATTTATCTGTGGAGAACATTTTGCAGCGATGGAAATGTTCTGTATCATACTTTTGGATTTTGGTGTAGTTACTAGACTCTGAATTTATCATGACTCATCAAATTGTAATTGATGCTAGTGCATTTTTTGGAGCCTTTGTATGTGCCACTTTCTCTCTAGAAAGCTCCCTCGCCCTGCCTCATTAACTCATCGCAGTGTTCAGAAGTTGCTTCAGTTATTATGTTGTCAGGGGAATCTATTTGTTCCTGAGCCTAGACTAACACAGCCTGCTGTTGTCCTTGTTGCCCTTACCCCAGATTTTGTTACAGTCAGGCTGGTAGTATTGCACTTAAGGTCTCTTTCTGTATAACCACAAATGCTGAGGGGTTAAGTGCCAGTTATGTGTTCATAGTGCTTGAGACAGATACAGTAAATAGTGCACTATAGATGTCCAGGCCTAGGACCACCAATCTCCTGCTCAGAGGTACAACAACCAAGTAAACCACAGACAAAACTTTTATTTTAGTTATAAGGAGCACTGAGATGGTCAAAGCCAATGAGGCATGGTGTCTTTGGCTTTTATTATGTGTAGAGTTTGATTGGGGGATGTTCTGGTGGGGGTGCAGGAAGCAGTGGAGGTGAACTGCTGATCTGCTCATGGTTCAAGAATTGAGGAACAGTGCATTTTTGGGAAATCACACAGATTATGGTTAACTGGTAACTTGATTGTCTGCTAACTGGATTACTGAGCTAGACAGAATTTGCACAAGTCAAAGTACTCAGCTGCCATGTTACCTTGCTTTGAGGCACCAGAACCTCACAATCTTTTTGCTGGCCCCAGCTCTGATCATTGGCTTAAAGATTAATTTGCCCTTCACCACAAGCTTTGTGGGTGTAGGACAGACTCAATTTATTTTTATGCAAATTTATTAATATTAATTATTGCCTGAGCAGAAGTGAGAGTTCTCTGTCTACTCTTCTCTTTTTTTAGGGGAGGCGTCAGTGATTTCTGCTGTGGTGCCCTGGCTGTTTCCGCTGAGTCGTGGAGTTGCACTGCTGTACTGTGCCTAGGAAGTCGCAGCTGTCAGTATTCACTCATCTACCGTGGCTGTGGTGGAGATTTCTTGTGAACAGCGTAGGTCATCCTGTTGCTGGGCTGTCCTTTCTGAGAATATAGAGAAGTCTTGCCTTGCTGTTAACTCTTCTAGCAGAAAAAGAAACCTGTTCTAAGGCACGTTGCTGGACCTGGTCACCTTTTTCTTTGATTTCCAGCAAGTTTTCTTACCTGCCTTGGTAGCAGTAAGTCAGCTCCTGTGCAGCATGCTTCCTTCTCTCCTGATCCTAATGCTCCAGAAGGGAGTTGTGCCTCTCAGCAGGCTTAGGGGAGCTCATCTTCAGGCAGTTGAACAGCCTGAGCAGAGGCCTGTTTACCTTTGCAGGAGGTGAAAACAGTGTCCGCTCTGATCAGCCTGTGATTGGTCTTTCTTTCTGAGTATGAGAGGCCATCACTACTGTCCCTGAGCCCTGTACAGACCCAGTTTCCATGATGAATGTGTACAATATTTAATGAAAGACCTGACTACTAAAACTTACCTCTCTGCCTCTTCCCACATCTGTTCCCCCTTATTTTTCTATTTTCTGGGCAAGAGGGGATTCAAGTTAAGGTAGGAGATTAGATAGGAAAGCCATATGCATACCTGATCATTTTATGAGTAGAGTTTAATGTTTAAATCACTGTTAGAGTTCCCTTCATGATGACTGTCTTCATTTTGGCAGAGTTTTCAAAGCTTGTCATTTCATGCAGTCCTCACTGGCATTAATCAGCCCAGTTACCAATTCTGATGGTGTTTTTCTGGAACTTTCTTTAAATTATATAAATTTAATTCCTTAACAATTTCCATTATATTTACATAAAACCCTTTTTATTTATTTTTAACCCTGTCAAAGCTACATAATTCTATTCCTTTCATTTAGATTATTGTAGCCTCTCTGGTTGTCCTATTCCACTCTTGCCCCCCATATACCTGCAGGATAATCCTCACATACCAGGAGCCTGGTCAAGGCATCCTCCTGGTCCCCATCTTTTAGTGGCTTCTCTACTTTGCTGGAATTCACCTACTTACCATAGTTTGTGACCTAGCACAGTGTCTGGCCCATCGTAGGTACTAATATTTGTTGAATTCTTTGCATTGTAAGTCCTATCAGGAATTTTGTGGTTGTTAGCCTTGTCTTACAAGTCCACATACAGACAGTAATTCTTTATGCTTAATTGGTTTTTGTGATGAAGGGGTAGTTAGTACTAAGAGCTGTATTTCTGTGTCTTGTTTTGTTTTGAAATGGATTCTTACTGTATTGTCCTGGCAGGTCTCAATCTTCTAGACACAAGTGTTGATGAATGCTGGGACTACGAGTGTACACCTCAGAACTTGACACTTGGCTTTCCCTTTAGGAACAGCCTGCTTTCATGTAATAGGGATAGAGTGAAGGATATGTTAAAATCTAGTATTCAACTGGGTAAAAAAGTTGCCCTGACATTCAGTTTGAGAACTTTGGTTAGAACTTAGATGGTACTCTTGATGTTCCAAATACTTAGAACAGTATTTTTTGTGGCTTTTCTTTTTATGTCTTATGTTAATATATTCATTCTCATTCATATTTCTTTCTCTCTTTCTCTTTCTCTCTCTCTTCCTCCCCCTCCTCCCTCTCCCTCTCTCTCTCTCTCTCTCTCTCTCTCTCAGTGCTACATTTTCTACCCTGCATTTCATCCTTTCAATCATTTTGGACTCAACACATGCATGACATTAGGATGGTGTAGTGGGGTAGAGGCGCTGTCCAGTGAAAGCACCTCATTTGTTATGCAGGGGTTATGTGTGCTAACCAGTTTACTAGTTTGACTTTCCAGTCAACATTAACTGTTAGTTATTTCTTAATGAAAGCTTATAAATTTCTCACAATTTAGTAGTCTTAATAAACACATAAGAATGACTGGTTTTAAGTTTTAAAGTGTAGAGCTACTTTTTAGAACATGTTTATTTATAATTATTTGCTTTATTAGTCTCAAAGTTGAATGTGCATTAATACTAGTGACATCTAGATTGGAGAAACTGCTTATTCTATTAAGTTTGTTTTAAAAGAAACTATCAGTTATGTACATAAGTTGGCATATGCTAACCAAGGCTCTGTGATATTTTTCCTTAATGTGTTTTTTAATGAAGCAGCTCTTTAAATATAACAGTCTGTGTTAATATCACTAAATAGAGAATGAGTACTCAAATTTTAGGTTGAAGAAGTTCATTTGATTAACATCACATTTTGTTCCATTTTGCAGCCACTTGGTGAAATTTTTGGATGAAGCCATTAAATTAATTGCTTGCCATCATGAGTAGAAGCAAGCGTGACAACAATTTTTATAGTGTAGAGATTGGAGATTCTACATTCACAGTTCTGAAACGATACCAGAATTTAAAACCTATAGGCTCAGGAGCTCAAGGAATAGTATGGTAAGTTGTTATTGCTAAACTTAGACAGAGATTGATTAACAATATGTTTTTATCTCATTATATAGATACCTTGGTAAGTAACTTACTTAAAAAAAATTAAAACTATAAAAATTAAATGAAATCTGGTAGATTGTTTTCTTTAGGAATTAGTGTTTTATTATTATTTATAAAGCATAACTGTAAACCAGCATGGCTGTTGTTAAGTATAAACTATGATTAAACATTTGATTATATGCCATATAGAGACATATCTGTAGCAGGAAAGAATAATTGGCATGCTTGTTTCATGTGTACATCTAATCCCATAGCTAATTATTTAATAAGAAGCCTCACTTAATCATCACTTTCACACTATAATGAAACTGGAATTTCAGAAATCTTATTTTACACTGGAGAATGAAGTCAGCTAGTATTATCTCACTATATGTGTTTCAAAACTCATATATTTCTTTAAAATTGATTTCCAAGATAATTGCTACAGAATGTCCAGGCTTTTATGATCAGCATAATTCCTTATAAAATCAAATGCAGAATGTTCCTTGGGATAGTTCTACTAATGATTCAAAACTCACTAAGTAAGCATATAATGAGCTAGTGTTTGGGGGACTTCTAAACCACACTGAGGTATAATTGTATCATTATTACATCTTCTTGAACCAAATTTGTTTTGAAATCTATTTAAAATACAGGTCTTGTTTGTAATCCAATACTTGTGCCAGATTAGAGAGAAACTTACACATATACACAGAAAGACACCCATAGGGCTCTTTGCACCATCATATATGGTAGCAGAAATCAGAAATAGAGTAAAATCTGTCAGCTAGAGGAAAAAAAAATGTGATATAGTCATATAATAAAATATTGCACATTTAAATGACCTGGAGCTATCTATATCAATGAGGGACAGTATCAGACATGTTGACTGGAGTTTAAAAACAATACTTATGTCACTGTACCATTTACATGTTGTTTAAAATATGCAAAATAATGCCATATATTTATAGGTGAATCCGTATATAAAAAAGATGAAACCATACATGAACACCAAATAGGGTTTTACTTATCTCTGAGAGTAGAGAAGAGGGAGGAGCTTTATTTGTAACATATTTCTAGCAGTTGGGGGTCATTCTATACACTGCACTCTGGTTATCACTTCAAGCTGTCACGTATAATCAACAAGCCAACGACAAATTAAGGAAACATTATTATATGCTCAATACATACACTCATTATTAGAATTCTCAAAACCCACTCAGTTCAGATTCTACATATGTGATTTATGAGCTTCAAATCCTGTTTTCTTACTTAATTTACTGAGTAGTTATGAGAAGTGTATTTGCTATTAATGAACACTTATACTTAAAAATATGAATATTTCTGTTCATTTATTGTCACAGAAGTGTATTTTACAATCGGTGTACCAAAATTAAGAATAAAACATTGCTTTAGAAAGGACCTTTAAACGAATCCTCTTAACCAGTACCTATCCTAAGGAATGTCTTCAAATGTTTACTTAATTCTCCTAAAAGATTACTTTAAAGTAGACAAATACTAAACTTTGGGGCTGGGGAGATAGCTTAGCAGTCTAAGCAGCTGCTTGGTAAGCATAAGGACTTGGGTTCGATCCCCTGAACCACATGCCATGTGGGTCCCACACAGAGCCAGCCACCGAGACCAGATGTGGTGCCACATGCCTGTAATCCATGTGCTGGTGAAGCTGAGACAGCAGGATCACTATGAGTCCGAACTGTGTAGCAAGACCCCATTACTAAATAAATAAATGAATAATTTTTAAAAGATGTAATACTTTCGTAATTCTGTAATGATCAATTGAAGAATTTAATTTGGGGAGTGAGAAAAGGATTATTTTTGACCTTAGCCATAGCTGTAAAATTCACTGGCCATCCACTAGGGCCTCTGAATCAACAGTGGTTTGTGATTCGTGCACATTTAAGAATCAACATTTGAAAGCCTATTTTCCTTTGATATAAAATAATGGAATCCACTCATATGTTTTGACCTTAATAGCTTAAAGTAGTCCTTTTATTTGGCAGATAAACTATTAATAATAATGAATTTAACAGTTAAAACTTGTGTTTTCTGAAGACAGTAAGAATTTCTAGTAATTTTTATGACACACATCCCCCCCATGTGATTTTGGTTTTTTTTTAATTTGGATAGGACATATCTGTAAATTTGGCATTTTTAAAGATTATATTTATTTACATTTTGGTATAATGATATATATTTGTATGCAGTAGTTATGGCATGTGTAAAGTGTATAGACATATCCATGTATTTATTTAGTTATTTTTCTGTATTTAGTACTGGGTCTACAGGGTCTCACTACACAGATCGGACTTGTAGTGATCCTTCCTGTTTTCGGCTTCCCAAGCACTAGGATTATAGGCATGCGCAACCATGCCCAGTCTCATTCGCAAGACAGGCCAGGGATCAAACTCTGGCCCCTGTGTCTGCCTAAGCAGGCGCTTTAATCCACTGAGCTATCTGGCTGGCCCAATATATCCATTTATACAGTACCATTTTCTTAATCCATACGATTTTATGCTGTATTTGATATAAAGTAGTTAGAAAACATTCAACTTTTTGGTCAAATAAGGAAATCACATTAATCAATAGTGAGCTGGCTCTTCAAATAGTACACAAACGGAATAATCTCATAGCATGTTGGGTGGTCTAATACGAACAGCAGCATAGCCTCATGCTTTAGTCTTCTTGTCTCTGCTTTCCTTAAATTTTGTGGCTAATCATGTGCAAATTACTTAGAAATCATTGTTTTAATTTCTCTTCCAAAGCAAATTTTAAGGGCTTAGCTTTTTTAATTACAAAGTAATCTTTTATTTACATACTTCTATGTGTACCTTTCCTTTTCTGTTTTTATTTTGTATCCAGAAGGATGGAAGTAGTATATTTATGTAGAATTCTTAGGCAAATATTTTGAGTACTTGCAGCTCATTGTCTCACTGAATCCACTAGTGTCTTAAGAGCCAGTTGCTCCACATCGTACAAGTGTTCTATGGTAAGTCAGAGGACAAATGTTGAAATCATAGGTTAAGGAGTGACCTGATTGTGTTTGCCTTTGGAGAAAGTGAGGAATCTATTTTATATAGTGTTCCATAAATTCTATTTTATAGAGTTTTGCTTAAATTTTGCTTTTTTTTTTTTTAATTTCATATTGCAGTGCAGCTTATGATGCCATTCTGGAAAGAAATGTTGCAATCAAGAAGCTAAGCCGGCCATTTCAAAATCAAACTCATGCCAAGCGGGCCTATAGAGAGCTAGTTCTTATGAAATGTGTTAATCACAAAAATGTAAGTGAATAGTTTAAATATCTTAAGTATATATCAAATTAACTTTTAATCACAAATACATGAATAGCAAAAACTTTTTAAATATTAGGAGCTTTAAATTGTTCTTTCAGATTGAAAATTTGTTTAAAAGTCATAAACACACATCTCTATAGTGTGAATTTTTTCTTAACCTTATTAAATGATAGTAAAAAAAAAAAAAAACTTCTGAAATTTAGATTGCATAATTTCCTGACTTTAATTTGCAAAAGGAGTTTTAGGGAGATGTTCTAAAACAGTTTTATTCAGGAATGGTCTCATCTTTTGTTTTTTGTTCTTTATAGAGATAGCATTTCAGAAAACTATAGCCTTAGCACAAGGATAATATTGTTCTGCTTTTACTTTGACCCTAGAACTTAATAGAATTAAAATCACTGTTTTCTATTTCATTTCTTTCTCTCTTTCTTGCCTGTTTACAGCCTCCCAAGAGCTGGGATTGCAGGCATGTGCTACCACGCCCACCTCAATTGCCCTCTCAGGGCACCCCAGGGCCGGGGCTGGCACAGCAGGCCCAGGGATCAAACCCCCTGGCTCCTGTGTCTGTTTGCAGGCACTTTAATCTGCTAAAGTATTTGGCTGGCCCACAGTTTAAGTCACTAAGTTGCCCAGGCTGGACTCAAACTTGGGAATGTCCTTGCATCAATTTCCCAGAAGCTGGGATTACAGACATGTGCCACCTTGTCTGGTTTATTTTGAGAATAAATAGTTGCATTTTTTAAATTTATACTACCCATACTGATACTTTTATGATGGTTTTAATGGAATGATCACTCCAAGCTTAGAGGAAACAAACTACGAGGGAATTTGTGCAAGGGATAAATTTGTAAAATACTAAAATGGAAGCATCTGGCTAGAGACACTACATGGTGTATGTCCAAATGAGTTAATCTAATGTGCTGCGTACTCAGTACTTCTAATGGCAGATAACACTATTGAACACATTTTGAGTTAAGATTATCAATCTTCTGTGTACTGGAGGTATAAGTTTTTACCCTTCTAAAAAGTTTTTACCCTTTTAAAAAGATTTAAAAATCTTTTTACTGGAGGTACAAGAGTAAAATACATGGTTTTTAAGTATTAGTTTCTTTAATTGGGAACCTTACCCTGTTGTTCTAAAGGCAGAACAAACACCAGATATCTCAGTCCAGTTGTAGTTTAACTCTGAAATGATAGTGGTGGATAGAAAGTGCCAAGATCTCTTCAGAGAGATTTCTGTGAGCTTCAGTGAATAGGGAAGACTTTGGACAAGAGTAGACTTATACTGAGTCTTAAAGATCAGGTAAAACTTGACTTGAAGAAAGAGGACCTCCCAGAAAGAATGAATGCATAGGAAAAGCCCAGAGATGGAGGTTAAAGTTAGTCATTAATAATAAAGAAATTGTATAGCTGTTCATGTTCCAGGTAGGAGCTAAAGATGTTATTCATCAAGGTTTTGTTGGTGGTCTTTCGACCTTTGTAGAGCTGCTGTTCTGCTCACAACTCATAACCAACTGTTTCTTGGTGAAGTATTGCCTTTGTTTTCTTTTGGGCAAGAGTTCTTTAACTTCTTGCTCCCAATCCTGTGCAACTGCAAAGAAAGATGGCCTCATTTGCCCTCTAGCAGGAGCAGTACAGTGGAGGGCTCCAAACTCCACTGCTCAGGGAATGAATATAAAACTAAATATCAAGCCAGGTGTGGTGGCACATGCCTGTAATCCCAGCCCTCAGGAGGCTGAGGCAAGAGGATCATTGCAAGTTTGAGAAAAGCCTGGGCAACAGAGTTTAAGACCCTATCCCAAAAAAGATAAGGAAAAAAAAAAAAAAACCACTCAAAATAAAACATGTGAGACACAGGGACTGGGGTTCAGTCCCCCATGCCGGCCCTATCCCCACGGTATGCTGAGACAGCGAATGAGACTGGGTGTGGTGGTGTGCACCTGTAATCCCAGTGGTTGGGAGGCTGAAAACCGTGAGGATCACTGTAAGTCTGATCTGTATAGTGAGACTCTGTACTAAATACAATGAATGAATGAATGAATGAATGAATGAATGAATGAATGAATGAATGAATGAATGAATGAATGAAGTGAAAACAGAAATGATAACTGTGCTTTTCCAATCATGGATGGACGGATGGATTTTTTTTTACTTTTTAAAATTTTTTATTTATTTTTTTTTTTTTTAAGTAAGTATACATTCTTTCTTTCTCGTCTAGATTTCAAAGGAGAAATTTGGTTGCTCTCCCTAGCAGTGAACCTGTGGCATGTGTGCCATAGTGGGCTGTCTGTATCATTGGAAGCTCTGAAAGGTTCACCATTGCTGCCCTAGAGTGTTAGAGATTGCGTTTTTCTGTGTCTGACTTTTCATTTATTGGCTTTGCTTTCTAGTTTTGTCACAAGAAACTTTTGGACATATTGCAAAACTTGGGTGTCTATCAGAAGTTTCCCGTTCTGCCTAATTCTTAATTTTATTTATATAGGTGCTATTATTAGAGACTCTTTTCACAAATGCCTTTTGAAAATCTTCCTGTTGTATCTAGTTGAGTTTCTCTCATCTGTTGTTATTGTCATTCTTCTTGACCACAGAAGGGGCCGGGGAGATGGCTCAGTGGAATACGCACTTTCCTGGCAAGCACAAGGGCCTGAGTTCGATCCCCGGTTCCAAAAAAAAAGCTTGTGACCACAGAAGAAAACTGTAAATGCCTTCTCAATGAATTTGTTTCTAGTAATTATTACTTCTATCAACATAGCCATGTGCCACTCACTAAGCAGTCCTTGACTTTTGCCTGTCTAATTGCTTGTTATAACTTCCCTTATTTCTCCTTTTGAAAAACAAGTAGGATGCTGCTTTAACCTTACTTATTGCAACTTAGTTGATACATAGTTCAATACCATACAGTTGGCCCATTTGAGGTATACTGCTCAAAGGTTTTTACTATATTTACTGATATGTGGGACAATCTCTGTAGTCAGTGCAAGAATATTTTCCTCATCTCAGAAGGAAACTGTGTATCTCCTGTCATTCCCCTTCTGCCATACCTGTGTGGCTCTGAGCAACCTTTAAACTCGTTTCTGTCTTTTTATGCTTGTTTTTAACACCTCTCTTCTCTCTTTGGATTTCCTAGATGTCAGTGAAAAGAATGTTACTACTTGTTCACATCTTTGCATGTGCAGTTCATTTGGTGGAGCAACTCAAATTAAAGCAATCAGCTGCTTTCTTTCCTACTATTATTTCCCCCATCTTAAGCAAGTTTGTTTTACTCTTCTGGTCTGAATATTATTTTTCAGAATTTATTCATTGCATAGATATTTAAATGTCTTATATAAGCAGAAGTTAATGCATTTGATGAATAACGTACATTCTGTCTTCATGAAGTTTATGTTCAAAAAAACAAGCATTGCCGTATTTAAGTTGTTGGCAGACATTTAAGATGTGTGTCAGGTTCATTGTTGTAAAACTGAATAAGCCACAGTTCTTTCTGACAAGGATCTTATGTGGTCTAGTCAAAGCCATTGTAAAGACCAGACTTACAGTGCAGGGTGAGTGCTGTATTACATGGAAAATAACTGCGGACAGAATAGAGACAGTACTCAGTTGCCAAAGACGAGTTGTTGTCAAACCTCAAAAGAGGCTCACCTGGATGATTAAGTGACAGGCATAGGGGATAGATATTTAAAACTATCAAGAGCTTTTTATTTATTTTGTGTGATACTGGCCAGTGTATCTTTTCTCAGTAACATTTTTTACCAAGCTAGTTTCTCTACACAACTAATGTATAGGACAAAGAAGAAAAAAATATTGCTAGAATGTAACAGAAAGATTTTTAAAGTTCAGTGTTAAGACTATTCAAAAAGAGACAAAAGGAGCCATATTTTTTGTTTTCCATTTCTCATCCTTGGCTTCCAAGTAAAAGAACACTAAGGGTCCTGTTAAGTTCGTTAAATAAGGGTTCCCGCTACTCTTCAACTAATATAACAATCCTAAGGAATGTCTAGCTTTCTGGCTCCCAAATCTATAACCGTAACTCTGGGCATGTCTACACAGTCAAGAGCTTTTTGAAATGCCCTCCTTGAGATTAATTTAGTGTGGCTGAAATGTCAAGTTTCATACTTAGCAGATGAAATAAATTGATGCCATCACAGTGGGTGTCATAGGTACTGCTGGCAAAATTTAGAATTTATTTGTTGGCTATAAGTTTTTTGTTTTTGTTTTTTCTTTTTTAAATAAATTTTTTACTATTACATGTTTAAAATTCACGCAACATACAATCACATTGAGGAGTGGTTACATGTATATATTACAGCTTATTCCTTTTTTTTCATTATTTATTTATTTTGACATCAGTTATTTTTATTTTAAAGAAAAAAAATAAAAACAATGGTACAAAATCTCAAAACAAGATTTTAGTAGAGTAACAATGGTTAGTACATTGTGTATTGTTACTGCCAAAGTAGTTTCTCATATTACAAGATATA